AGTAACGAAAAACCAGTCCGAGTCCGAATCGCACAAAAATGGATAGAGTAAAACATTTTGGATGACGCAAAACAGTTGTATTCTGCATCCAATTTAAGTTAATAACCTCAATAGACATTCCAATGTGAAAGTTGATTGGATTAAACACGGCATCCCGAAAGTAAATTCTCCTTTGCGTGTTCTTTTATCAGATCAGAGTGCAGATGGTGGGTAGTAACCTCCCCAATGTCTAGAGGTCGATGCTCTGAAGCTTGCGTAAGTAAGGCAACAAGAAAACTATATGAAATACTATTGACAAACGAGTAAAGTATAAATAAAATTACAAGCATTATACATAAAGAAGAGCTCGATGGCGTGAGTGGTTAACGCGTTCGGCTGCGATCGTTGAAGTTAAGCAACTTTCGCAGTATTCGGTCAGTGGATGGGTGACCAAAAATCTTCTTTCTCCTTTCGGAAGGCACGTTAAGCCGGTGGTCCCGGCTGCATATGCAGTCATTAGCACCCGCCAATCCGCTATGGGCCCGCGTGGTGGGTCAAGACCCAATCTCCCTATTCCATCCATAGGGAAGGCCTGTGTTCCAGCAGTGGGGACATTAATAGGCTGATGATGATACATAAATTAGTATCCTATAAATTTTAGTGGCTATTAACTGTGACTAAATTCATACTCAAATCAAGGGGTAGAATCAGTTGCCTACCTGGCTATATAAAAAAAGTAACAACCGCCACTAATGTAACTTCATGATAATGTAAACTATAGGACGGTTATATTCTTAATTATATAATAACTACCATGATAATCTATAGTAAATTTAATATATAGAATCTGAATTTGACAGGCATTCTCTCCTTTTTTTTCTTCAGAGGTAAGAATTAATATAGAAAAACCAATGAGTTGAACTCGCATACAAAGGTTTGATACCAATGTACATTACTCTAGGCAAGGACGAACAATAAAAGTACTACTAGACACAACGAAATAATTATGTTTTTCTATACCCCTCGAAGTAACTTTCATTTTTAATGTAATTTTATTACTTTTCATGACAGCGGTGATAAAATTTAAAGTTTGCACAGTATTTTATAGAATACATTTAATATTAACAGATTAAGACGAAAACCTACTTACTAGGACTCTCTAAACCAGGTATTCCTGAATATCAAGTAGACTGAGCTCTGCGGCTTTCGCTGTTAAAAAAATAAGACTCCTCCTAACTGATGTTGAAACGGCAAGATTGGTTTACTTTGGTTACTTTCATAGCGATCTGTCATATGGCCTTTTGTTGTGGGGCTCAGCTGCTAATATAGAAAGTATTTTCGTACTGCAAAAGAGAGCTGTTCGCGCCATATATAATTTAAAGGCAAGAGAATCTCTTAGAGAAAAATTTAAAGAAATTAATATTTTAACACTGGCTTCGCAATACATTTATGAAAATATAATATATGTAAGAAAAACCTATGATGCGTTTGCAAAAAAAAGTCAAACCCATAACTTTAACACCAGATTTAAAAACAAGCTTGCCGTTCCATGTTTCAGACTCCAAAACACAAGAGGTTCATTTCTGGGATGTAGTATTGCATTGTTTAACAAAGTTCCCCAAGATCTGATTGAGCTTCCACTAACCAAATTTAAATCTCGGATCAAGAATTCTCTTATGAATAAGGGCTATTATAAAGTTAATGATTATCTAAATGATCGTAATGCATGGACATAGTGTTTCTTGTAATTTGTTATTTGATGGGTATGAGAGAGTTTTGTAACAGTAATATGGTACCTATCTAATGCCGCTTCCTATATACTAAATATAAAATTATTATTGTAACTTTATACATCTATATCCTAAATAATGTAATAGAAGGTGACTTCAGAAGTATCTCTGAAGTCATTTTTCAACTTGACGACTCTGTATATATCAATACAGGAAGAAAAAAGCAGCCCTTGCTGAGTTTCTTGCCGGTTCTTCTCAGTACAAGGTCTCCTGCCGTAGTTTTGCGAACCGATGGCGTAGCTTCTTGACCTTCACAAGTGCTTGTAACAGCCTCGACTGAATAAATTACTTTTCATTTCATTATGGCTCATGATGAGATACATCTACTAAATAAATGACGGTATGGAGTGGACACGATAAAGGTACAATTCCGCAATGGGCTGCAGGCGACAACCGCAGGCGACACTGCGGCTGACCGTGCATTATATGATTGTGCAGCCGCGGCATATCGCCGCGCTCGGAATCAATTTCATAGAAATTCATAGAAACTAGTAGTGTCGCCTGCAGTCTGCAGCTGCGGCCTGTGGTCTGCGGTTCAGTTCGGACTTGTACCTTTACAATATTTAATTCTATACCTAATAGAGACTGTTGTAGGGCAACTTTAAATAATTATAAGGTTTTATTTCTATAAGTACTTTCGATAAAATAATTGGAATCCAATTAGCTTAGGTACCCAATAAAGAACTCAAAGGAACCAGAGTTTATGATGGAACGTTTTAAATTACGTTCAGATATAACTTGTTATCTTCTTTAATGTTCATTTGGGTTGAACCATTTGTATCGGCGATAACGCTGCTTCATCTTAAAGGTAAATATGTACATAAATTGCTTAACGGAAAGTGCATCGGATGCTGGACCGTAGCCAAACAAATAGAAATAAAAATTGCAGATGGAGAGTCGAACTGACGAAAAATACATCGAATGGCACAATTCCAATTTGAATGTGTTGTGACATTTACTGTGCTGAAAACAGATAAAACAGGGTGGTTCGAATTGGAAGCTAAACTTTGCATAAAAGCAGATTCGAGAGACACAGTTTCGCATTGAAACAACTATATTATTCAAAGTTACATTGAAAGTTGTGGTACGGATCGGGGATGTGTTATACTATCCGGGCTAGCTCCACAAATCATCTACCCTAAGGGTGAGACCAACAGCGATGTGGTTGCGAGAGCAGAGTGGGAAATGATGCTTTAGGTTTACCCTGAACATTCTAAGATAGTCTAAATAATTGCTAGACTAATCGCAAAAAAATAATGAACCCCAAAATATATCAGACTTAGTACATTTGTATGGACGCTCAAAAATCATGTCAGCTGAGAATGACCGATATATGTATTACAATATCCATCGCCGCGTCGCGTCGCTTACCGCTCTCGCCTATCATTTAATTCGCTACCTTAAAGTCAACCTTTAGCTTTTTCTTTATTCTTGTCAATAAGAATTGGTGTTATGTTTCATTTAGAATTGGACTGATTTACTGGAATATTGAATACGAGACGTGACATTGATGATGGCGCGCAATTTGTTATATAAGTATATAGTGGTATTCAAGTACCTACTCCAAGAAGGATGTTAATAAAATGTCATCATTCAACAAACATTGTTATACAATTTTAAATTAATTATTAAATTTGCCATGTTTTTCTAGTATTACTCAGATTATTACAAGGAATACAATATTAGAATAAAAGGACGCAAATATATCATTTATGCGTCATGAAATCAAGTTGGCATAACCACAGAAATTTTAACAGTGCGTAGGTACTTCGGGTATAAATGTTGGAATATATGAGTAGATATGTGACCAATATTTTGCTTTATGTTTAATATTTTCATCATTAGGTCTAAACATGGCTTTGGAAATGAGTTTAACACTAAATTTTAACTATCTGAAAGTATCTTATTTGCTATTGAAAACTTTGGATAACTTTACAAATTTAGAAATTTTTGTTTACATTTACAATCTATGTATATTATACAATATAAGAAGAGATTTAGATCTCAGATTAGATATACAATAACATCAGCGTATATTCAATTTACATAAACGATCAAGCTGACTCTGCTGGCTCATTCTCTGTCTACGAGTAATCGCATCTTCATCTTAATTCGCTGCAGGCGTGCTAAATAGTTACGGACGTCCTGTTATTGCAGTTATCACCACCTACGCAACCGACAATTAGTGCCCCACAATGACTATTAGCAGCGACGAACACGTGAATTGTTCTTTGACTTTAACACTTCAATACAAGTATCAAAGTTTTAGTTTTGCGGCCATTCTTTATAACCTTTTTTCGATCTAAAGAAAATCTCTTTAAAATTATTGAAACAACTAACTTCCATGCAAATAGTTATAAAACCTATATAACTACTGGTAACATTAGGTAAGAAATGGAAACCTGCTGCATGACTTGAATAGCATAGCTTTAAGGAGTTAGTTCAGTTTGTTTAGGAAAAAAACCATAAAAATGTACTTCCAACATAAAAATACACAATAATAGTTATTTATTATACAAGAGTGGAAAGTTCCTTTTTAACCGCGTGCTCGATTTGGATGACCGAGCAAGCGAAGGATTCTAAAGTTGAATCACGAGCGCAGCGAGTGATTCTAAATTAGAATCCTGAGCGTCAGCGAGGGAAACAAACGAGCACAAGGTGAAAAATCTTTCCACTCGAGTGCAATACGTAACTTTTCATCCCACCTCAGCGAGGAAATGACAAAATGAAAAAGAAAACAATTTATAATGACAAAATATTTAAGCAATAAAACGTGAAAAACTAGAATGGCGCGAAGCACGCAAATAAAACAAAGAAACCAAGAAGGTTCCAAATTTAAATTTTTTCACAATTTAAAAAGTTCTAATCATAAATTTGGCACCATAGAGGTTACATTAAATAGGTTTAATGACGTTTTGAATTTACAATTATATTGAGTACTCATTATATGTGATGTTCTAAATTCAAATCTACTTTGCCGCTCAAGCGAATAAAATAGAATTTTCCAGCCAGATTTCGAAGCGCAAAATTACACTTTCCGAGGTGGTGGGATGAAAAGGACATTGTTCTGCGTCCATACATAGTTAGCCTAAGAACCAACAATCATGAAATATTATTTTGTAGGTTCGAATACGCAAGTAAATGACTGTAAAAACAAAAATTATTGACGGACACTTCTGAGAACTTAAATTATTAGGAAAAATAATTTTAATATTAAATGAAACATAGCTCAACCTATGAACTCAGTATGAAGTGAATTAATATTACTACTAATTCATTTTATTTGGAGAGATTTTAAAGAATAACTATTAGGAAAAACTTGGTTAGGTAGGAATCATGAATAAAATAAAAACTGTAGTTTTGCTTCTTATCTATTGACTAGTTTTCACATAATTTGTATCATATTGTATTTATTTGTATATCACATGTATATTGTGTAAATATGCAGCGTGAATGTGTATCAGGTACTCTTGAATAATTTGGCAGTATGATCCTCTCAGGGTGTTGTGGCACAGGTTCACTAGCACTTGGTAATAAGGTCTCTGCTCTTTGGTAACATCGATGGCTTATTAGACAGCCGAAATAGTTATATTAAAGGAAAAACAATCGCAAATAAACACACACAACAGGTAATCCGAAACAAGAATGCACAAATGCCACAGATTACTACGAATGCAAACTGCCTGCACCACAACCACAGAGTATCGAGTTTTATGCCGACCCTTCACTTGACAATAGTTTGTCCTTGTCATGCTTAATAAGGAAGGACAGACTGATGTCAAGTTTTCCAATAGCAAATACGAATAGCCTAGTGAAGTGCCGGAATTAGTAATAAAGAGTGTTTTGTTTGCAGCGCTGTCATAAATTATACATATAAAATGGTATTATTGGTTCAGATTATTTTTTAACTTTTTAATTTAGCTTAATTAACTGGAAGTGTCTGTCACAATCTAAATACTAATAATTATCGCAAAAAATATACTAAGAATTATCATAAATGCCAAATTGGTGTTGGTTCTTAGGCCAATTTTAACATTGTCCTTTAATTCAGAATCCAAAAAATTCAAAACACGTCCATAAACTATCAATAGCACCAGCCAACCACAGTATCCTTCGCTGTGCCTGTAGAAGCGATTCTACTCAAACTCCTTATTTTATAATAACAAAAAAAAACAAAGATCCATTTAATAACAATAGGATAACGAATATTTACATATTGTTATTGTTTAATTAACGTCTGTACTCTTTTTAAACGACTCTGAAATTGTTGTCACACCAAAAAAGTTACCGTACCGACCTTTTCAGGGATTAATTAAAAAAGCTTAATAAAAAGCATGCATGCCCAGTTAAAAGGGACCTGTTTCAGCGCAGCGATAAGTGTGTCCCTCCCGTTCACGTCATGTACATACCTTTTGTATGTGAGAGACGTAGGTTGTAAGAATGTAGGCACTGTCATGTCATTATTTGGGTCACGGTCCACATATCACTTCCTCACGTGTCAAGAATTCCCTCTCAAACAGAATAATTTAAAAGCCTCAATGGAACAATATAACGTAAAAGTCACAGCCACCTCAATGTACACGAAGCATTGAATATTTCAGGGGGCTTCAATAAAAATGATGAATTGACAACAACCGCTATAAATTATAAAAAATATTATTATTGGAGAACGTAATTGGTAATTAGGCGAGGTTACCCGAGGTCGAGCACGACGACACGCAATGCCACACCCTCCTACTGAAAATTTGAACTCTAGGAAATAAAATATATCATAACAAATTTTAATACGAATTCTATTGTTACTGCCTGAGTCTTTTTGATAGTTTGTACACGATGGCTATTTCGGAAGCGTTTATCGGATGTCCTTCAGCTAGGAAATACGTCTTGTGTCGCATAAATTAGTTGAATCTAAAGACAGGACTGTGTTAGGAAGAAAATGTCGCCTTAGAATTCTGATATTGTTGAGCACTAGAAACTTAGTAAGGGGTGTCAGGAGAACGCATGCGCTAAGTCCAAGGACACGCGCCGCGCCTCAGTCTGGCGGGAGGCAGCGCCGCGGCCGCCTGTCTCGCGGGAACACCCATGCACCACGATGCGGGCACCCGCAGTGGCCCATGCGTAAGTCCATCTCGACCACCGCATGCCAGACCCAGCGCCGGCCCCAGCCCGCACGGCGACCTTAACTTCCGAAGCCCCGCGGTCGCTCCGATTCAGTCTCGTAATTGGATTTTATCGTTCAATAAGCAACGTTATTCTGATTTGATTGGCGAACGCTTTCCGCTTCGACGTAGCAGCCCGCTTCCTCCTCACTCCTCATTGGTGGTTCTAGCTTTCAATGTAGCGGCTTTATTTGTTTTTAAAACTGATTAGATATCGTGTGCGATATGAGGACTTACGTAATATATTGCGAAGTCGTCGGTGCATCATGCAGTAGATGTAATTGTGTTAAGTGTGGCGGACGCTGGCAGTGAGTGTGCGATAAGATCGGTAGTGGACATGACTTGCTGGGAAAGTGTAGGACTTCTAGGCCCATGCGCGTTACTGGCCTCGTCTGACGTCAGGGTGAGTCCAATCTGGTCATCCGTATCGTCTCAAAAACTTTCACGGCCCATAATCCCATTTCAGTCAGGAGCACTAAAATTTCAATCTTAATTTGGTTTTTGTAGTTTAGCTATTGTTTTCTTTATTAATGGTAATTGAGATAAACTTGGAATACCCCATCATTAACTAATAGTCTTATTTTATTGTAAAATGTTTTGAAAACAATAAATCGTTAATTTATTTGTTTTCTTCTAATCATGTGTCTGTGAACTAAACTCTACTTTAATGTAGTCGAGACCTTGATTGAGATACGCCGCGCAATGGTGTCAATAGCTCTGTTAACAACAGAGGAGGTTCTACAGAGAAATGGGTTTTGGTATTACTTGGATAATTTATGGATTGTCAAAGAATTGGAGCCGTTCGAAGACGTTAAACCTGAACACGTGTATTCAAAACCAATATCAAGAGATTTTTACTACACAAAATATCCTGATATCCCTCGTAGTGAATCGGAGGATGATAATTCAGTGAATTTAACCGGATTCAAGATCAAACACAGTCAGTGGAAATCGAAAGTGTGCATTAGACAATTTGTGAGGAAAAGAACTGTTTCACAGCAGTCAAATTTAAACGAACGTTCTAACAGTAACAATTCACTGAATCATTCAAAAAACATCGTGTCTTCAGTAGAAGTAACAAATGGAAAAAGTGACGCAAAGTTAACATCGCGCTCTGTGATGAATGATGAAAAAATCAAAGCTTTCTTTAATCGTTTAATAAAAAGTGTACCTCCTCCACCCGAACCAGTACCTGACTCAAATGACAATATTATTTTAGACACAGACCAAATAAAGAGAGAAAAATATTTTGAGGAATTAGATTTACCAGATTATGCCGATTTTGAAAAAAACAAAATATTAGAAAATCCTCCTGAGCAAAACTGCCTACCAACGACATCGACATTGAAGAAATTGAAGAGAACAGTAAGTTTTCAATCGAATTCATTTAAAGATGAATTTGAAAATCATGAGTCTTGGTACGAATCATTAAATGGAATTTCAGACTTTATTGGACTGTATGAAAGAGAAAGTAAAGAAAGCAAGGAGATAACAGATGAAAGCAGTGTCATCATTAATGAACCATGTGAAATGGAATACGATGGACTACAAGAGGCTTTAATGCTAAAAACTTGTAATAATAGCAACATTGACAGAGTCGAAGCTGTGTCTTGGTCTGAAATCGTTGATTACTGTGGTTTGAGTGAAGGTGTCCTGAAACTTGAAGACACATCTTCTAGATATGTTGAAGAAGTAGTGAGCCAATCCCATTGCGCTGATGCCAAAACAACATATGAGGAACTTGATGATGTCGATGATGAAATCGGTTACGCTAGATTTGCTATATACAAGATTCACCAAACTTTAAAAATTGAAGAGGGGATGAGCGATTCATCGCCAATGAGGGACCTCAGTGAGGACTATAGAAAAGACGAAATTGGAATTAACATCAATGCCGACGATAACTATTACGGACACATTTATCGTTTAGCGCCTTTGTGTATAGATGATTCGGTAAATTCGCTACAAAGTACTTACATATGAAAATATTTATATGATATAAGTTTATTGTCTTTGTGGTAATTTTTAAAATAAATAAAATAATATAATCAATTTGTCGTGGCTTTCTTGTTACAACGTCATAATTTATAACAAACCCACCTACTCGTATATAGTCAAATAGGTACGATCATCTTAATCAAGAATGTGATATTTGTATATTTCTTTTTGTTTTTGTTTTAAATACAGGTATATCTGTTTATCCATTGATACAATTTGTTTGTTGCAGCCTCCAGAGAACGAGTTGCAGAAAAATTCTGATCGTGTGCTCTCAGAGCATGAGTTGCGAGTTCAGCGATCGCTGCAGAAGCTCAATGTGCCGGAATGGTATGTTTTTTATTTATTGCATTCAACTACTTCTAAGACTCTCTCACTCTCACTCACTCATTAAACATATTTCTGTCCATGAGTTCATTTAACATATGGCACCCGCAGTTTTATAGTACCTATATTAAATATAGTTAGACTCAACCGATTGATAGAAGGTTTTGAAAGCTTATAAAGCTAGCATTCTGTCACTATTATTAGCGAATACTCGCATAAATTTTTGTTTTTGTTAACTCGAATTGATGAATATTTATGTTTTGTCATAGTACCTATTGCATGTATGGAGCTTTCCCAAACTTCTAAAGATTAACATTATTATAACCGTAAGTAAGCAAGCACCTATATGCTTAGTTTTCTTTTTATGAAAAATGCATAAAGCTGTTCATTTAGCACTAAACCGCAGTAAATTTTTTAAAACAGCTCCCAGTCTTATAATTAAATGATAGGATTTCATCTCATTTCTCGACAGTAGGTAGGTAGACTTAAAAAGATTAATTAAATTTAAGAAAATTTGACCTTACCATTTCAAGTTAAGGTGAGAAAGAACTTTTGTTTAAATATTTTATACTAAATAAAATTAATATAATATGCACATTGCATTTGCCGATAAAACTAAAATCATTGATACTGAAGTGCTACTTTTCCTTCATTTGATTTGACAAATTAATAGGCGAAAAATGTATATCTTATATTATTAGAATACACTTGCTTTATTTTTTTGTTTTGAGTTTGTTCATGGTTTGCTACCACTTTCATATCGAATTGTAGTAACCTACAATGAACCCATAACGGGAATACAAAAGCCCTATAGTCTGGTATCGTATTTTGCTAATGCAATGAGCTTATAATGGCCAATGAACTGTTACTTAGCTTAAGTACTACTTAGCTCAAATTACGTCAACGATAAAGCGATTTGGATTTTGCCATGTTCTCTACTATCTGTAGATAAGTTGACTGATTTAAGTGGCGATAGTTTCGGTTCTAGATTTCAGCTAATGAGATATTTGATAAGTGATATTTATAAATCAGAATAAGCAGGAATGAAGTTGAAAAGAATATTTGACGCAATAATTTCGGAGATAAGGTGGAAAGGGGGACAGGTCAATTTTCGTCTATTTTTTTTTCATAATTTTGTAAATTGCCTATTTTACATTTGTAAAAAATATGTTTGTAATCTAACCCTTTCATTTGGTATAGCTATGGTATATAGCTAAATTTTAATTTTCTTATTGGCCCCGAAAAACTAATAAAAATAAAATGATGTATCCTTTTAGTAAAATATCCTATCATTAATATTTAATATACTTTCTCTCCATGTGGCATAAACGTAGGACGCCTTGTATACAGCAGAAAGTAGGCAACGTTGAATCAGAGTGAAAATGTGGATAAAATACAAATTATTGCACTTTTATTACTTTTTATTATCTGTAATCTAATCTATAATAAATCTTTATTGCCCTATTGTATGTTGCATTACAGAGCAATGATGATGCAGAGCAGAGAGATGATTTCGAATTTATATAAAATATTTAGGACACGTTCAACCTGCGATTGTGGAGGTTAAGCAACTTCACAATGGTCGGTCTTAAAATGGGTGACCTTTTTTTGGACCATTCTCACTTGTAATAGTGACATTCATGAAATATTATAACATGCTAACACAATTTTAAGGTGTTTATAAAAGTATTTTACTCGATTTTGTGTTGTTAAAATTGCCTTTAATATAAGAAATATGGCGATCGTTGGCGTGATTCGTATTTTTTTAACTTGTAAAAAGCATTTAATAAAACCTTACCTTTTATGCTTAAACAATACAGTTTCGACTGTCGATCGATCGCTAACTTACAGGTTATGGCAATAACCTGTAAGTTAGCGATCGATTTTGAATTTCATACAATAATTTAATATTGCATAAAGCCGTAGCACATTTTTATTGGCCGATAATTTCGAATGCGTTATTGCGATTGGTGTGTAACTTCGTAGCCGGTCTCATACATTATGTACTAAAAGCAAATATCGCAATAACGCATCCTATATTATCGGCCGATAAAACTCACCTATGGGATTGAGGCCTAAAGCTTAAATACTGCTAGTAATTCCATTTTATAGCTTATTTTAAAAAAATTAAATTAGCGTCATCTTTCCAACCATCTGCATAAATATTCTGTAAGATGCAATTTCACTTACGATCTCATTTTTCGGATTTCTGACAATAGTCAAATATCTAATACTGGCTGCTTCTACAGACAGCGACATTTTGCTGTGTAATGGCGTAATGCCTATCAAACTAAAGTCTAAAATGGCAGCTACCGAAATCAGAAGTGAGATTTTATTTTACAGAATCGCCCTAAACCCACATCTCATTTTTATCACACCATAATATTTTGGTATTATTTTTCGATCCTAATGACTGCGTCATCTTTCAGGTACAGAAACGCCCCAGCGCCCCGCGAGGGTTTCCTCCTACGGAAGCGGCTGTCGGACGCGGCCGCGTCAGCGACGCGATGGAGCGGCCTCAACTCGAAAACCACGTCCCTCGGCAGCCTCGGGAACAACGCACAGCCGCCACCGCCCCAGCTTTCACCGCACACCACAAGCTTCGGCCGATGGTCCACTAGCAGGCTTAATTCGAATCAAGTGAGTTACTACATATTATCACGCCTCAACGCCTAGAGAGGGTTTCCTCCGTGAAAGTGGCTGTTGGACGAGGCCGTATCAGCGAATGCCTCGGGAACAACGCACAGCCGCCACCGCCCCAGCTTTCACCGCACACCACGAGCTTAGGCCGGTGATCCACTAGCAGGCTTAATTCGAATCAAGTGAGTTACATATTAACAACGCCTCAACGTCTAGAGAGGGTTTCCTCCGCGAAAGCGGCTGTTGGACGTGGCCGTATCAGCGAAGGCCTCGGTAACAACGCGCAGCCGCCACCGCCACAGCTTTCACCGCACACCATGAGCTTCGGCTGATGGTCCACTAGCAGGCTTAACTCGAATCAAGTGAGTTACATATTAACAACGCCTCAACGCCTAGAGAGGGTTTTCTCCGCGAAAGCGGCTGTTGGACGTGGCCGATCAGCGACGGCCTCGGGAACAACGCGAAGCCGCCACCGCCTCAGCTTTCACCGCACACCACGAGCATCGGCCGGTGGTCCACTAGCAGACGCAATTCGAATCAAGTGAGTTAAAAACTGCGGCCTCAACGAGGAGTTGATCATTGAGGAGTTTGGAGTTCCAAGAACCGCTATCGGAAGTATAATGAAATCGCTTGCTGTTTTATTATTGATAAAACAGCTGTTCAGCAATTAAACTTTGATAGATTGCCTTTTTCTGGGTAATCCCCAAAGCCGACAGACGCAGATAACAAGTTTAAATAAATGATACCGACTCACTGATAAAAACGCAATGAGTTCGACAATGATTTCGTAAAACGTATCACGTATTTTCTATTTTCCTAACAAATAGTTAAACATTATCTTGCGTTAGATTACAGGGCTTTTAGGATCACGGGAGGAGACGATCAGCCAGCTGAATAGCGAAAGCTAAACAGATTTGAGTACCGTCTTTTACCTGATGGAAGTTAAGGAGCTCGATTGCGCAGGATGAGCCTATGCCACGACCTCCTCAACATCCGCGTTCGGTCAGCGATCATAGACGTTAGTAGGCTAACTATTACTATTTTATTATCATCTCCGTGTATCAGAAAGCACGTAAACCCACTGATAGCACATATAATACTGTACAGTACTTACAAAAAAACTGCAACTAATAAAAAAAATATTTTAGTAGGTATTTCTGCTAAGAAAAAACTGGAAACTTAAGTTTTCCAAAATTTCACGGTGTAAAGATAGGTTCAGGATGAGCAACGACCTATTTATACTCTGATATCGAAACCGTCTATAGACTACGATGGCAGAGCTTACTATTAGGCCGTCCGTATGCTTGTTCTTCACCCTTTCTCGAATCTCCAAGCAATAAGTTAGGCATATCTTTACAAATGATTACGTTGAACCGCTTTCGTCGACGTCGATGTCACCATGCTCGTCGATTCGCAGCGCTGATATTGATAGTTATATTCTCTGATATCGAAAGCGTTTATAGTCTTCGACAACTTACCCTCAGACCGTCCATATGCTTGTTCTTCGCCGGTTCTCCAATCTCCAAACGAAGATTTAGACATTTCTCAAGTATTACGTTGAACCTCTTTCCAGACGTCACCGTGTTCTTCGACTCGCAGCAGCATCCGCGGCACGAGCCCCCTATGTTCGCCTTCCGCTCGCTCTTCGTTCAGCGCGCGGCAACCTTACCTCGGCTGGAGAAGCCAAGAGCGTCTGAATAGCACCCCTAGAACGCCACACGAGAGGTAAGTAAAAGCAGAATGTGACATCACACGCTACTCTTCAATTTTCTGCACTGATGATAGCATAGAAACGTGAACTATAGTGCTGAGAACTTCGATCGATAATGATCAAAGATCGGGAAGCGAAGATTAATTAGTATAGATCGCGTAGGGGAGAGAACTAATTCTCTCCTGTTCGAGCGATGACTAAATTAATTATTGTACCTAGTCTAGAAACGTGAATGTATGTATAGTGTTGAGAATCGAAGAGTAGCGTTTAGTGGCATATTAACCACAGCAATGGTCGAATGAAATAAAAATCACGAGCAATAATTCCGGGTCACTCCTATTTCAGAAACCAATCAAGTTTCTCATCTATCAGAAAATGGAATCAGCCGATTCCAATAGATATTATGATGTCCCTTGTTTATAAGTAGATGTAAACATTTATATAGATATCGGTAGCTATCAAAATATTAGAAAAATCATAACACTACCAACAACAAGCAGACATAAAGTTTCAAATCGTTCTTAGGTGTAAATTAGCAGGTAATGTAAAAACGCAGCTAACTTTATAATATTTCACGTGTTCCAGGCTAGCTTCTTCCTTACTGCAGCAGTCGGCGTCCTCGAAGGCTTCCGAAGAGATCCAGACGTCAATCAAGGAGGTGACGTCAGCGATCGTGCATTACGTATCGGCGTTAGAACCGGCCAACGGCGATATTGACAGACAACCATCTCCGCGATCCAGCCAGAAGCTTTATTGGCTCGAAAGCTCCTTTGTTGGTGAGTCTCTTTTTTTATTTACCTCTTTTTGTATATAATCGATGGCAAGTATATTGGTGGTGCACTTAATGGTAAGCGGCTGCCATTACTTATAGACACTTGCGATGCCAAATTATCACTTGCGCCGCCCCATCTCTAGCACGTGTTATCTTTGAACCATCAACAGAAATATAACACCACCAAAAGGTAGTGTTATTTCACTGTGTCTTCTGTAAGGTAAAGGTTCCTTCCTTAGACGGACGCTCTAATGCGAGCAGGAAATCAGGAGCGGGAAATCTAATATCCCGTAACCCATTCACGCATCAACTAGCAGGGATATGGCACACAAAATGAGTTATGCGAGCATGTAAACTGGTAGTTTCCGTTGTCGTTTACGCTCGTAGATCTATGGACAGACACAAAATGCATCATCAAACCAAACCTGGTGACGCTGGCAAAAAAAAAACTGGCAATTAAAATTATATCTTTGTATGCTGTTGGTCGTATATGACCTGCATGATTATTCATAACTACTCCGGCGGTAATGCAGAGATGAGCGGAATTGAAGAGCTAGATTCTGATTAATGTTTTTTCTCACACAGTCTTATTAAAGAAATATTATTAAAAATCGGTTGTTTTCTTTCTCAATATTAGTAAATTAATTTTATTAAAAAATCTGATGTTTTTTCTAACTTAATCTTAGTAAATAAGTTTTATTAAATAGAAACTTTTTTTTTGCTCACTCTACCTTATTGGTTTGAATTGACAGCTATGACGTCAAAATATGGCGCCCAGTCGGTCCTATTCTTAATTGAATCGCATTATAGTTATCAGCGTTATTATATCAAGCCACCGCTTTCAGGTACTAAACCCCTAGAGTCGCCACAAACGCCGCTAGTGGTCTCCGAGGCGCTCCCACCGCCGCACCCGCGGCCGCCGTCGTCGCTGCGGCTCGACAACCGCGCCGCGCCCGCCACCGCCACCGCAGCCGCGACCGCGTACGGTGAGCGAGCGTGACCGCGCCGTGTGACCGCGCGCCAGGTTCAGACCGATGATCGCGCGACACATTCCCTATAGTGCTATACAAACTTTATGTCGGGCTGTGAGATAGCTGTACCCTTAGTACGAGTTTGAGCTCACGTAAACTATCATAGTTTTCGTAATTGTCAATTATGTTTCTATGTCCATTTTGGTGAAAAGTAACCAAATATACTTAAAATTTAAGAAGACGCAAATGATTTAATGATAGAATTTAAACACTGTTTGTTTGTATTGAAACGAAAACAATAAAATCTAAGTACCCTTAGTAGGGGAGAACAGGGCAATGGGAGCCTACTAAGGGAAAGTTGTAATAAAAACCACGTTACTCAAAATTCTTGTATTTTTTTATTATAAACTCTTATCTTTATTATAAGAGAATAAAATAATTGTAGTTATAATCAATCACAGACATATATTAAGGTACAATGACAGTTTTACAAAAAAAGTCAGTCGCTCCTATTACCCGACAAATGCGGCTAATGAGAGCCCACTTAACGCTCATATGGGAAATGAGAGCCATTACAATTACTCTTAAAGAAAAAAAAATAGCAAAACGTACTATAAATGAGACATTAGTTATTATAATTATCAATAAAATAAAACTATTTGTAACACAAATTAAAATGACAAAAAAATCAAACAAAACGGTGATAAAATATGAAATTATTAATGGAAAACAAAAGATCCAGACTTTACGGATCCAAACAAAATTCACAAATATAAGTATCTGGGCTATCACTGCCAGAACACTCTTTGTGAGCCCAGTTTCCGCAACTTCTGCATCGGTACCACATCTCTCCACTTTTTCCATTATCTAAACAAATTGCACATAAATTGTCCTCTTCAGAATATTCTGACTCATCATCGCAGATAGCATTTTCGTCGATTTGATCAAGAGATGAGTTTTCATCATCACTTTCACACAAATATTTTGTTGCCTTTCTAACCCTTGTGTTTCTGGTTGTAGTCCTCTTGCTTTTAATCTCTTTATCTTTAGTATGTTTCTTCTTAATACATTTTCCTTTGGGACATTTTCCCTTGACACAATTTTCTTTATCACAGTTTCCTTTATTTTTCTTAATTGTCTTTGTCTTATTCTCCTTTTCAGTTCTTTTTCTCTTCTTTTCTTCAAATACTGCTTTCATTGGAGAACTTGTTATTATTTCAGAATGCTGTTTGTTCTTCAACGGTTTTTGTTTTTGAGAGATAAGTTGTTGAGGCAGTGGGCTGACAATGGAGACAACATTAGCAAAGTCAATATTGGGCGGGGTTGCGATAGGTCTGATAGTGTGTGTCTCCAGACTAGCAGGCAGTTCTGGTGTTGAATATGATGTCGGTGGAATTGAAACTGGAGTTGCAGCAGCTTCCCTTTGAATAATTTCCGGTTCAATTTGCAGATCACAAAAAATAGATGGACTTGTTGCAGGGCTAGCATATGGTTGCTCAGCTTGATTTGATGTTGATGGAATAGGAGTGACATTGGTTGGCTGCTGTTGAGCGTCAGCCACTGGCACAGCTGATCTGGATTCCTCATTAATGAAGTCATCATCACAAAAAACTCCAGGATTCATAGGGAATATTCCTGTTGATTTAAAGCTCGATACTCCTTTTTCTATAGAAGCAACTCTAGTATAAGCTTTGTTAAACAGTCCAGCAATGTCGTATGGAGTAATTTTTATCAAATTTCTTGATTTTATATACAAGTTGCACTCTTTGTTATAAGCTCTTTTAAGAGGGGAATAAAATGCAACGTCAAGGGGTTGTAGACGGTGGGATGAATGTGGAGGAATGGTTAGCATTATGACATGGTTCTCTTTTGCCAATTCCCAAGCTTCGAGAGTAGCATGGCTATTGTGGTTATCCAATATTAGCAACACGGGTGTTTCAGCAGCAGGTTTGGCGTGTTTAATAAAATGACGAAGCCATAAAACAAATATCTTTTCGTTAGTCCAGCCATTATGTGAACATGTGTAAACGGCTCCCAATGGTCCATCTCTTTCCAGTTGCGGTGAGTGACGTTGCCGGGGAAATATGAAAAGCGGAGGAACGAAAGATCCAGCCGCACTCATAGCACATATTACTGTGACCGTCTTACCTCTCTCCCATGACGTTACAGACCCGACGCGTTTCTGTCCTTTGGGAGCTATAATTTTTTCAGTCTCTTGGACAGTCGTTATACCAGTCTCGTCTACATTGTAAATCATTTGAGGTTCAAATTTATGTTGCTCCATCAATTTCTCCAAGTTATTGAAAAAAAGCGTTATCTCAGTCTTATTAAATCCGAGAATTCGGTTGATACTGATGGCTTCAGGCTTTCTTATACTTAAATCTGGATGACGCTGCAAAAATCCAGCCAGCCAATCTTTTCCTGCAGTTTGTTTGTCTTGGTTAAATCGTTTCTCAATACCTAGTTGTTTAGCTACACTGTAACATACTTTGCGAAACTGTTCTCTTGTCAAACCATAAAATTTATTTGACATAGTCCGAAGATGGTTAGCCAGTATTTCTTCTTGGGCAACGTTAAATACAGTGGGTCTTCCTAGTTTAGGAGAATTTTTGTAGCTACTATCGTCAGCTTTCGCTAAATTGTATCTCTTCTTTAGAGTGCTGTAAGGAATGCCAGTTTGTTGAGATACTTTGTACACCGAACTGCCTCCTCTTTTGAGGACAGATACTGCATTTTCTAATGCATCCACTGTCCAAGAAGCTTTTGTGGTTGTTCGAGTCCTTTTACGTGGCATCTAAAACAAAAAAAAACGAAGCATTTTATCAACTGGGGTAATGGTAGCTATGTCGGGTAGTGAGAGCCTAGCTAGGCTACCATTAGCCGCTGACCACCATTTTGAAAAGTAATAATATAAATATGTAATTCTATTTTCAATCGCAATTCAACTAATTGGACTTGTTTGTAAACGAATCTAGGGATATGATAAGCATAAATTCAATAAAATAAGAATATAATTTCATGCTTACCTTGATGCTGGCAATCGGCAATTTCTCATAAGCGTGAAGCGAAAAACACGCAACCGTCCCTCGTGACTAAACGAATGGCACTAACGGTTCGAGCGCGTCAGGTGACGATTGCCGAGAGTTGACGGAGGTAGCCGAGTGCTTACGATCGCGCAAACTTGCCTACATTCCGTTCAATCACCATAGCTCCCATTGCCCGACCGCTCTCATTACCCGGTGTTCCCCTACGAATGCGAGCTCACGAAAACTATCATAGTTTTCGTAATTGTAAAACTCGTACTAAGGGTACTGTACTCTGTTGAACTTTCTCTGAGAGTATAGGTAAACAAACCAACCTTTCAATATGTACATATAAACATGAGCGAAATCTCCTAATACAAATAAAATCTTTTGCTTTAAAAGGAGGCTCTTGACATCTTAATGTTAACGTTTAAGATAATGAAATAAATATTTTTCGTTTTCTTAACAGTGAAAGCAACTGCAGGTTTCAGATCTGCTTTTGATAAAACAGCCGCCATAAAGTTTGAATCGCACTATACCTACGTAGATACCTGTGCAAAACTGAACGTGGTTAGGGTTACCATTGTGATAAAAAAGTCTGATTACGTACGATACAAAACTAGGTTGTAGATACTTATGCGGGTTTTAGCAATACCTAGCTGTTCATCGCTAAAAGAGTGGTGGGGACATTTAATGTTGGACTATTCAAAACAATATAATTTTGAGCCCGAATAACGTGAAAAATATTCAGGGAAGCATATAGTTTACTCACACATCACGTATGCTATATAAAAAAGTATGAAAATCTTTTATTATATACTGTCATAGCTAAAGATCAAAAGGACAAATGCGATAACTAACACATTCAGTCGGATGGTAACCCTATACGTGTACAAGTCGGTGCATATAAATCGGTCAACACGAAAATGCATTTATTGTTACGTCAAAGTCTGAACCTGGTGTGTCCCCGTTAAATATTATTTTACGTTCGAATACTCTGTGCGTTGATTCTTGTGCTGTTCCGTGTATTTTGTTTTATATTTTATTTGGGTTCTTGTATAATGACCTCCACCAGCTTGCTATTGAGGAGTTCATTTGTGTAATTTATGTGTAACAGAGCTTTATAGACTATGTTTAAGACTCAGGACCATTATATCTTTATTGATTTACTGGTATGTTATTATTTTTTGTGACATTCACGCACTATTTTTGTATCACTTATGCAATTTCTGTTTCTTTTCATATAAATGTTTCACTTTGGCGCTGATAAATAAATTAGCACATGCTTTATAGTGGATTATTTTTACACAATATGTAAACATGTTGTTGTTTCAAATATATGAATTAAATGTTGGTGTTACCAGTACAAAGTATAATGTTGAATGACGGTAACCGTAATGTAAAGTACCGCCAAATTATTACATAATCTTAACATATAAGAATTCAATGCAATTGAACAAGTTGTCATAGAAATGAAACTTAAAATCCTATTTCTAATTTTCCAATAGTATTTTTTTGTAATATTTTTCATCGTCAATACTTAACAGTTTCATATTTTAATAAATAGTCAATAGATAAGATATATTTTTGATTAGTGATATTGCCATAATTATGAATTCTATAAATTGATTAACGCAAAATCCCAGTTGATTCTTATAAGTAGTTACATTGAATGTACAGAGTAAATTATTTGTTTTGTGTGTTTTATTTTAAAATTTAGTTTTTAGTATACAGCTAGTAAATACAGTGATGTAAATAAATCAATTATGTTGCTATGTTTTTTGTTTTAGGTGCTATCATATTTACAGTATACTGTTTAAGTAATTTAACAGGTTTTTATTCTATTTTTATGAGTACGGAATTCATTTGACACGTAACCACACTGAAGCTTTAATAGGGGTCACAAACCATTATTTATTAAACATGCCAATATAATATTATATATATGTCAACATAAAAAATAGGCAACAGTTATCAGAACCATAAGAGAATGTGGTGGTGAGAAGTGAGTGACACTCAAAATGTTTAAGTTCCTTCAACTTAAATCACCTCGTAATTTATGTTGGGGCTTTGGTTAGTCCCTAAGTAAATTATACAGGTTCTGATTAGGTTAGAAAACGTCCGTTTGCGTTCTTAATTCGCACCGCCGAATCGCCGTAGCCGCGTCACGAATGTTTAATCGACGATTAAACGTTTAGAAATTATGTAGCAAATATTTTTTTGACTATTACATTCATAGCCTCCGTTAAACAGTAGCTCTCTACATCTGCATATTCCAAATACGAATAGTACCTAAAGTGTTATAAAAATATCTAAGTAATAGTTATTAATTTTGTATTTTAGAATCTCGGTACATATCCGTGTATGTATTTAATAGAAGACTCGATGTGAAAAGTCTTCATTATTATTATGATTTTGATCGTTGTAATTTTAGTTAATGTTTTAATTAATGATTATTGAATATATTCATTTTTATTTTAAATGTTTTGTTTTATTTTTTCTTTCATTTATTTGTGGCGTCGTTTTACTGTATTGTCATGCACATATTATTTTAGTCAAATCTAAGGCAGAGTAAACTGGTTCGACTAAAGAGAAAAAAGTAAGTAAGCACTTGGAACTCTCTACTTAACCCTTCGTTTTCACTCTTTAACCATAGTTTGCTAACGTGTCTAAAAAATCACTAATTTATAGAAAGAGATATCCTAATTTCCTGACTTCATTGCCGCATTGCAAGCTGCCAGTGAAATAATTGCCCATACTCTCCACAGACTGGCAAGATACTCACCGCTCGCTAAACCTGGGTATCGCTAGGCCGTCGCCAGGGTCCACTACCCTTGAAGACGTGCTGGATTCTCTCTTGGGCCTGCCGTCGCAGCCAACGAGATTACCGACTCCTCAGCCTAGTCCTAGGAAGGCTTCGAGCCCTTATTATTTAATGGGAGGCAAGGTACAAAGTCATGGCTTGCAAACACAAATTAATTACATTCTATATAAGTTTTCTCTGCACCAATAAGATGAAATCTTAGTGAAAAGTCCTAAAAATCATGCTTATATATTTTTACTACGCCTTTCAAAGGTGTCTGCTTATAAACCTACATTATCTTAACTTTCTTGTAGGTACTTAAATAAATATTCTGCTCTCTGCTCTCTAAATGCACAGCTGAATATCATATTCAAAATTGGTATCATATCCTAATATCCAGCCAGATATTTAATTTATTTAAACTTTACAGCACTATTATTACAGCAAACTTAAAATTTTACTTTATACCTATATATATACATATATCTATACTTTGACTCTAAAGCCCTAAACTTCGGCGACACAACATCTCCCTTTAGAGGCTTAAGCACACAAAAGAGACCTGTACATTTCCAACAATGCACTGCAGAGTCCCCGCTACGAACAACTGGTAAGCAGTGGGCACAGCAGCGGCTCGCCCGCCTCCCGCTTCATAGGCACCCCCAGCGAGGGGCCCAGCTCGCTCACAGACCCCAGTCCCGACCGCGACCGACCAGGTAGGAACGATATGTAAGTTCGAACCGTTCCAATTTTCAACTACCTTTCCACTTTTTTTATATTTATTCAATATTCTTATTATATCTAAAATTATTGATGAACCATTCATTTTGCACTCAAGTGTATACGTATCGGCTAGTAGGCAGGTCGTTTCACAAACATAAAATGCTTTGACACTAAGTACACTGTTAATAAAAAGTTTTATATAATAAATCATTACTTACCTATTTCCTCTGAGTAAAAGCAACACTATCAATTTTTTTAATTTAATTTTACTTACTTATTCTAATTTTTCGTTAGCATGATCTGTACCAGCAGCATGTAAATGTAGTGTACCCGCTGATTAGAAACTTGATGTTTTATGGTTCTGAGTCTTAATTATTGATTTAAATTTTAATGTTTCAATAGTGAACTTCTTCAATATGTTTCAGGCAAGGATACAGTTGATAATTCTATCACGATGCAAGAGCCAAGACGATCGCGCTCGCAAGGACACGAGCACTCGCGCCGCAGGAGTGAACCTTTCACCCAAACTAACACCCCCTTTGACCGCCGCACCAGCCTAGATGCGGCGGCCCTCCGCCCCTCCGAATCCAAGCTTACCCATCACGACTCCAAAACCTCTCTTGCCTCTCTACAAACGGATAACAGCATAGACGACGCGTTCGTCAAGTGCAAATACCCTAAATGCAACTCACGGGCTCCTTTGGCTGACGCCAAGAGGCACTACAAGACTTGCCACAACTGCACAACGCTATACTGTTCCAAGGAGTGCCGAAGAGCTCATTGGGAGAAACACAGGAAGGTTTGCTTACATTCCCGAGCGAGTGCGCTCTGCAGACAGATTATATCAGCGGCCAAAGAAGACGCTGATTCTCTACATCAAATTAGCACGATCGCCCACAAAGGATATTTGGCAGTCGGCCGAGGAGTGGTAAAAGTCTTCTTTACGAGCCCAGAAGCAGCTGAAAAGTTTACAACGCACGGCTACCAGTACCTCACTGAGCCCGAATACGTCAAATGGACGGCCCTCCAGCCGAACGAAATGGGTGTGGAATTGTACACAGAGGTAGTAAAACTGTGCAAGGTTTACAACCCAGAGACGAGGATCATATTATACGTGGCTGTGTGCATAATAAGCGAAGTGCCCACGAAAGGTGCTGTCAAATGGGAACGACAGATGGTGTCGCGATGCGCGAAACTTCGACTGAGTAAGACAGTGTCCGTAGCTATACAAGAACAGAACCGACGGCGACACAGGCGAGACAGCAAGGGGACTCCCGAGGACAGGGAGACATTGATATTGAGATCCAAGTTGTGCAACGCTGGCGAAAAAAACGCAGCCACCGCTCACAAATTTAGAGAAATATGCTTTCATAACATATCGAACGAGCTGGAAAAGAGAGGAGTGCAGTTAAAAAAGCATTTCCCTGAGGTGTACTCGAGGTTGGCGGCGTACGTGGACGGCACGAGCGACAGGTTCATCCCTATGACAATTTACCCGAAAGATGTGACGAGTGGAAAATCTTTTATGTGTGTGATCATGCCTGATAGTGAATTGGATAGTGGTACGCCCGTGGACGGGAAAGTGGTCACAATAGACGTGGGTGAGGACCGCTCGCGTCATCAGCTCTCCACTCCCATGTAAGATTTTGTGTAGGTATAAAATTAGTAAAAAGAAAAATCAATTCAGATATCAATATTATTAAGCTGTAAATCGTGCGTTATTTTGAAACGTCTCGCAGCGTATTTTGCCCATCGCTTCATCTTGGTATTATCTATAAGATGTATTTACTTTACCTAATTTGAAGTTTCCACTCTCCCACTTATGAATCTCGTGTGTGGAATGATGTTTAAATGTGCCCTTAACAAATCTATAATTATTTTTAGAATAATTCTAAGGAGAGTTATAAGTGAGGTAATGTACGGGATAACACTCCAGTCAAAATAAGCCAAATATTAATAAAGGGATATTGGTAGGTAAAAATATAAAGAGCGTAAATCTCCTATATGCTGATTTAGAAAAATATACCTACCAAATAAAAGGTATAGTACAATACAAAGACACCAATCTAATGAAAATGTTCCATAAATTAAATATCCTATGTTGTTACTAATCAATTTTAATTTTGTGACTGCAAATAATGATTGAATAAAGATACTTTTACATTGTTGTTTTCTTCGTTATATTATAAATGTGCACTTAATTTGGATATTAAATAATGTTGTAATGTGTATATTTAAAAATACGTTTTACGTATTATGTTATTGTCATATTGTATATTTAATGATATAATTTATGAATTATTATTATTTAGTTATCATGACATAATTATATCAGACACAATATCGATGTTTGAAAATACAAAAAGAGAACGTAGAATTTTCAGAATGTTTGAGCTCAGAATATTTTATCATAGATTTTTTATCCTTTCACTGATTTCTTCTACAAAACTTACCTGAGTGAATTCTTAAGAAAATTCGAAATATTGATATTTATATATTTTTTTACAATATTTAATTATTAACATATTCAATTTAAATAAACCCCACATCATGTCCTGTCATTAACTTTTATACTTTTCAAGCATCGATAGTATCCGAAACTTTGACAATATTAAATAAGTTTATAAAATAATTTAAATTATATATTATTCCAGATTGTTTACGCGAAGCGTATAGATTCGAATATACATAATATAATTAAGCATGCATATATTTTGTCAAGAGAAAAAGTATTTTTTGTACAGCAAAATAATGCTTATTAATGACGGTCAGAAAACATTGATTTTATTTTTATTGTCTTCTTTATATTTCTGAATTTAACGGATAATATTCTAGCCTTGTCTTGCGTAATGCTTAAGACATAATGAGTTATGCTTTGAGTTGAGTTGAGTTTCAGATTTTTATCAATTTCACGACATTCCGCTTAGTCATCGAATCTTGTTCTTTGTAATAGAAATACATATAAATTACCTACATAACTAAAATAGATTGTTTTAACGAATTATACCTAGATAATATATTATTTTCATTCAAATGTTCGACATAATATATTGAACTCTATAGTTGGTGAATTTAAACGCCTGTTGTTTATGTAGATATGTAAGTACTGCAACTTTTATTCTATTTGAACAGTTTTTCATACATTTTAAATACAGTTTATTCAAGGTTGGTTTTTACTCAGGATTTTCCTAGCATGCCGAAATGATTGTTCGCTTTCGGTCAAATTCTTTTTAGGAAAGATTCGGAAAACTTTTATTTTAATTAGGTAATTGATTTATTTATTATTAAGTCGCATAAAATTGTATTTAAACAAAAATGGCTGGTGTTCGTATTTTATAAGGTGCCTATACAAAAAAATGGGTGTGTTAAACTTTCTTTTAGAGCATTTTTTTATGTTCATGATATCGAGCATTCATAATATTGTCACAATTTACATTCCGATGGGATTGCTTTGCAAAATGGCACAAAGTTGTGTGACTTACTCTTTTTAATACTTAACTAGTGCCAATCTAGCTAGGTAATTTGACAAAACAAAACTTCGAAATTTTTTAAGGAAATAGTTCAAGTCATGATACAATATTTTGGGATATACTTTTGATTACATCTTTGTATGTTGTCAATTAAATTAATTATGATTGCACGTGGATGCTATGATTGTTTATGTTTTTATTATTCATATTAGTCAAAGAAGTTAGATATCTGCCACTTTTCTTAGTGAATCGCTAACGCTCCATTTTTATAGTTAAATATCAAGTTTTCTTCCACTAGCGGGGGTTGTTCATCATGATCGCATAAAATGGCAAATATCTAGCTACTAAGTAATTTTTAAAAATGGCCTGCTTGCTAAAGCCTCTCTGAGGCACTAACCAAATCCACTGCCCAGTTATTTCTCATTTATTAAATGATACACTCTTTTATTAGTCACTGGTATTAGATTATAAAATTTAAAATAGGTGTTTTGTATACTGATTGTGATTATTTCTGTTGTATTATGGCTTATGATAAATGTAACCAATCTCAGTTTTAAGGAGTACATAATAAATGTTTGTAATGTAATGCTCATTAATGTTTTCTAATATTCTATACGATAAAAAAATAAACTAATTTAGAAACTTTTTGAACTAATCTACTATACCTACTTTAATGGAACATACCTAATTGTAAAAGCCTCGTACCTATAAAAGATACCTGTTTCATACACAATAATATTCATAATGTTGCCATATCAATTGTTTTTCATAGTCTGGATTATACATTTTTTATCTAGTTATCCCTGTAATATGTATTTCAAATAAACAGCCCAGCTATATAATTAAAAATATTTTACTTTCCCCTTAAATTTCCTTTATTAAAAATTTCATTCAGCTTTTATAGTTTTCCTAAATCCCCTGCAATGTTCAAAATGCTCCCCAACTGCCCAACTGCCGTGCTAAATACGATAGAAAATGCAGGGAGATACGCAAACCACACCCCTAAAACCTTATGGTCAAAGATAAAAATAGGTGACGATCGGCGCTGGATGCGATCAAGAAGGAAAAGCTGGTAGGTACCTTACCTACGAGGATCCACTGGCACAGATTACTTAATAGCAGACCCGTCTTTCCCAGTGGGCACTTTGGGCAAGTAAGTGCCCAGATCAAATACAAAGTCCCTAGTTCCTGTTAAATCACCAAACGGAAGTCATAGGGGACCCATTATCCTAATATGCCCAGGGCCTCCAATAGGAGCGGACAGGGGGCGGTACGGTGGGCACTAGGCCGCGTACTTAGCCCCCACGCACGGGCCTACCTGCGCTCGTCTGCGGGGTCCCCGCAATAAATCGGGAGACCCCTGCCGTGGAGCCCAGGCGAGGCATTGAAGCTGCTGGGTGCGGGGATGCGGAGAAATCCCACCAAGAGGATCCCGCGGCTCCGCATCAGGCAGTGGTGAGAGTATTCGCAGGACTTTTTTAGCGGATATTATGCCGTAAAGAGCCCGTAAGAGTTGCGGGGTCCCAGGTGGGCAGCCACAGGGGGGGGTTCGTAAGACTCGCGGGAGTCAGGTGTGAGGTCCGTTCGGCGGTGTGCCTCTTAAAGGCGCCGTCGTCTGTAAAAAGATTTTTTACCTGCGTAATAAAAAAAAGGGCCTCCAATAGGTCAAAGACGGTACTGCTTAATAGTTGCTACGTCTGGCGCGGAGAACAGTTCTACTTTTTTATGTTGAAAGTGTTGCAAACAAGCTTGTCTGATGGTAAGTGGCCAGGCAGATGGCCTATTGGTGCTTTCTATTTCAATAATATCATTCGCGCCTACCTGACCCAACCCCCCACCAGTACCCCGTGGAGCACTGGAACACTACCTACTCCCCGACGGAAACACATCCCCGCAAAAAGGTAGTGTTACTTCACTGTGGTCTTCTGTAAGGGCGGAACTTACTTCCCCAGACGGGAGCTCCAATTCGAGCAGAAAAATCGCTATACCCTTCCTCTCTTACTACTTCTTGATATGCTTCAACAATGTCTTATAAAGTAACATTCAATGGGCCGGTGAGAAACACTTTTTCGATTTAACTCAGCACACCTGATGGTGTTTTGAGCCCCAAATTGAACATCGCGTCGCGCCGTCGTTAAAATTATGCCTTGTCTTTTAAATGACCCCGAAACTTTTGCTGCCTTGGCACTTAGAGCAAATGCTCTAAGGCCCGTATCATAAAAAGATTCTCAGTGATTGATCTAGTCTTGAGCATAGTTAGAAAAGTATGTCGCTATATATATATATACTAGCTGACCCAGCGAACTTCGTAAAGCCATAAAAAAATAGGGGTTGGTGAAAGAAGGGTGAAAATTTAGGGTTGTATGTATTTGTGTATGTAATTGAAAAAAAAAATTAGGTGTGGATTACCCTTTACATTTAGGGGGAAGAAAAATAGATTACATCCGATTCTCAGACCTACTGCATATGCATATAAAATTTCACGAAAATCGGTCGAGCCGTTTCGGAGGAGTTTAACCACAAACACCGCGACACGAGAATTTTATATATTAGATATATAGCACATAGCGATATCCCTTTCTAACTCTACTCAAGTAAAGATCAACACTTAGTTGTCATTCTGTAATACTGACCTTAGTCTTGGCAATTTGGGAGACTACGGAGACTACCTACTTACATAAATATCGCGCGTTATTACGTAAAGTACGTAAAAACCTGAGTTTGGAAAAGACGTAACTAAGGCAGCAAAAACTTTAAAGCTATTTGCAAATGTTTATATTATTTAGCAACCAGTTCTGCTTACCTTATATGCTTACTCAATTACGAGTATATTAAATTAGACCCAGAGGCTTAATCCTAACATAAGCTCCGAAAATAAAAACCATCGTTGTTACTTTTACATGTAACTTCGAATAATTACCATTCTCTGGCTACGCCATATTTACTTCAGGGGCGGATTTAGGCAGGGCAGGCGGGTCCTCCAGGGGCCTCCACAAGAAAAGAGCCTCCACAATCCACAACAGAGAAAAAATAACTAAATTTCGACAGGTGCAAATCGTAAGCGGCTCAGGTGCTAGATTTTAAACGGGATTTATACTACTCAGTTTAAAGGGCCCAATCGAAAGGGTGAGTGTGGCCCCTAGCTAGGAAGCAATGATTACACCGCGCCGATCACCCTAGATCGTCCCTTACTCTCTAACTAACATTACACCACTCTTAGTCAGAATAAGGATCCCGTAAAATTGGGTAGTGTAGATCCCGCATTAAAATACATGGTCGCGAGCTTTCAATTGTTCATTGCACCAGGGCCTCCACACTTCTAAATTCGGCCCTGATATACATTAAATTATATGCCACTGTAGTAGGTACGGTACTTAAGTAGGTACTTACTTATCCTACTACGTACTAACTATACATGTATTGGTATAGATGGTGCTTACGTTCATAACTTGAGTCTGTGCGGAAAGAGAATGGGAATTGGATTGGAGGGCGCTGTAGTGCTTTTCTACCGTATTTGTAAGGTTTTACCCCTTTTAGACATGATTAAATACAAAAAACCGCAAGAAATCACAACAACAAACAAATCCGTATCAATACAAAACTTTGACGTTTTACAGATTGCTGGGTTTGATTGACAAATAAAAATCTTAAAATGTTAGTTCCGTTTTTCGCCACGCCCATTCTCTTTCCGCACAGACTCTATTATAAACTTTATTCCACTATAGTTTCGTAGAGTTTTGTACCTAACCATAGGTTAGTACGAAGGTCACCAACACCTTTATCCTACTCCTTCTATTTAAACACAACTTGTAGATCCCAACTATATTTCCAAAATGAAAATCAGAGAATATGCAATTAAAATAGCGATAACACACGATAAAATCGCATCAATCACTCCACATTATATTACTTTTAAGAGAAAAATTCATGCTATGGCGTCGATTCTAACCTTAACTTAAATTTTACAACAACAGTGTATCCTTGTCATTCTCTATAAAGAATGAAAAGGAGAGACTGATGTTAAATTTAATTTGAAGTTTAGAGAATCATGCCAGAATCCACACCAATGTTATGTTTCTGAACGAAATGTCTTTGACCTTTGACCGCTTGACATTCATTTTCAGTGATGCCAGAACGTCCCAAAAGGGACGATTTTCGTCCCTTTTCTCATCAAAACGTCCCATCGATGTCCTTTTACATATTCCGTCCCTTTTCCGTCCGTTTTCGATAACGCTTCACTGCAACATTAGACGAATGCGTTTCGTTTCACTAAATTGCCATCACTATTCGTTGTACATTGTCAACTCTATTCGTCAAATCACCCAGTAAACTACATCGAATCCAACGCTCGCTACGAAGGTGACGTTTAACAAATACCTACCTATATCTATATACCAACTCAAAGCTCAAACCCAATAACCTACCATATCTTACCTAATAAAACTTTTGTTGTTGAGGTACCTATATTTCAATTATAAAGATAATAAATAGGTAACTTAAAAATAAGTGCTTGCTTTGTTAAGTCGTAAGTACGTACGATACGTTCGTACCACCATGATGTACCTATGTCCTCCGTACCATCTTCTTTATGTTTATTGTGTGCCCAAAAAAATATAATTAATATGGCTCTGTTAAAATGTTTTTTGAAGTGAAACTTCTTTAGGCACGCTTGACTTGGGGGGTAAACTGGCGAATAGTTACGATTTCGCGTTACGATTAGTGTCATCGGTGACTCATCGGTAAACAATGAACAATACCTGTCACAAAATACATAAATCTAGTGCTTGGCTAGGTGGCCTGGATAACGGACCTAGCGCGGATTGGTGGATGGTAACGGACACAGCGCAGATTGGTGGGTAATTACTAGTGGTGCCAGGTGTCCCGATTTGTGCGGGATGTCTCGATTTTCAGGGGTGTGGGGACGCGTCCCGATTTGTACCTGATCGGGACGCTAAATAACCCGATGAATCAAAAAATGAAAGTTAGGTAATTAATATAATACTATACTTGCACTAGTGGTTTAAATCGCAAAAAATAAACCCAGACTAAAAAACCCTCGTTTTTTGTTTACTGTCCCGATCTACAACCCTAAGTCCCGATTTTTTTCACCTCATGTACCGACTTAAAACAAATCGGACCTGGCAACACTAGTGATAACGGACCCAGTGCGGATTGGTGGATGATAATGGAACGGACCCAGCGTGGATTGGTGGATGATAACGGGCCCAGCGCAGATTGGTGGGTGATAACGGACCCAGAGCGGATTAGTGGATGATAACGGTCCCAGCGCGGATTGGTGAGTGATAATGGACCCAGTGCGGATTTTAGGGTGATAACGGGCCCTGCGCGGATTGATGGGTGGCAATGGACCCAGTGCGGATTGGTGGGTGATAATGGCCCCAGCGCGGATTGGTGGGTGATAACGGACCCTGTGTGGATTGGTGTATAATAACGGACCCAGTGCGGATTGGTGGATGATAACGGACTCAGTGCGGGTTGGTGGGTGGCAATAGACCCAGTGCGAATTGGTGGGTGATAACGGACCCAGCACGGATTGGTGTGTGATAACGGACCCAGCGCGGATTGATGGTTTTTTTCTATCAAATTACAGATCATTGGAGCTATAGAAATTTCACTTCCAGTCGTGTGTTCCTAAGCAGACTCGCTTTTCTTTTCATTTAACCGCATTATAATAGAACTACACTTACCTGTCGTGTTGTATTGTAACACATCAGAGAGCTATCTGTTTCATACAATTATGATTAATGTGAGAACGCTGTCGACACATCGCGACACACAGGTTTAATCAGAATCAGAATTTCAGAATTTTATTTGTGAAACATAGGTTAGTATACATGGTATATATAATTTTTGTTAGTATCACTACATTTCCACCTTAATTAAGGTATACAAATAGATAAGGACCTATGAAAGAAGTACTATTATTTTTACATTGGAATCACAATTTATGAATATAATTTGAAATTGTCTATTGTTACATGCATGTCAAAGTAGATTATAAATTAATTATAAATTTGATAAGCCATTGTCAATTATACTAATAGTCAAAATTTTAATAGAAAAATAAGCAAAATGTCCAAAATAGCAATAAATACACATTTCTTAACTGGATTGTCAATTTTAATATGTCTAAATTTTTTAATAGAGATCTGCTTCTGTATAGTTCTTAGTGCTAACCGTACTAAATGTATGAACCAGATCGCGCCACAACACAACACGTAAGATAAATATAGTTCAGCCTTTAGTTTAATATTTCTGTAGGGCCGTCCTTTTTGACTAAAAATCGTCCCTTTTCAGATTTCGAATCGTCCGAAACACGACGCAGGTACTGGCAACACTGTTCATTTTTGACATTTGATTACGATTGCGGCTGGTGTTCGGTGGTGTGGTTGGTGATTCGTGTCGTGCGTTCATTTACATTACTATTTATATTTTTCGTATGTGCCGATAGGAACTAAATCTGACCTGACGACGATTTTCTGAGTTAAAAAAATAATCATAATGGTGACAGTGCTCTACGCCGCGATTCCGGTGTCAGTAATTGTTGCAGTGGGCCTTTTACGTAAATGGAGATCGAGAAAATGGGGCAAGTGTGTAAGTAATACTTGTCTGAAAGGAAAGACATATTTGATCACTGGGGCAACAAGTGGAATCGGTCTGGAAACCACCAAGGCGCTGGTGAAAAGAAAAGCCCGAGTGATTATGGCTTGCCGAGACGTTCCTAGAGCAAAAGAATTAATAGCAGACATTAGGAAAGTACAACCTTACGGGGGTGAATTGGTAAGTATTTTTAACCTATTTTTAAACCAGAAAAAGTAAATCAGATAGTTGAACTAAGCAAAGGATATTATTGTTACAGATCCCTATGCACTTAGACCTTGCATCTTTTGAGTCTATAGAGAAATTTGTAGAAGTAATAAAGGCAGGTTTCTACAAAATAGACGTTCTTATCAATAACGCTGGTGTTGCAATACCCCTGGAACGCGATGAGAAAACAAAGGAAGGATTTGAAATACATTTTGGTGTAAATCATCTGGGACATTTTTATCTTACAAAACTGCTCATAGAATTATTAAAAAGAGCATCACCTAGCAGGTCAGTGCTAATAATATAAAAGGTCCATTGTGTGGGAGAGAGAGAAACTGAGTAGTTCCCAGGTCTAGTGGTCCTCTTTACGATGCGCATCATTGCTCACCTTCACCGCTCTAGTTGCCCGCCCTTCCTAGCCAAATTTGATAGGAGCCTGTTAGTGCAGCCTTAGTTGTTTCATTGTTTTTGTTTACCATAGATCGTTTTTGCTCATCGTCCATGTGTTTTTTTTTTCTTTGGCCTAACAAGAATTCTAGACTGATTCCTTTGCTTGACTTTTTGGAGGAACAAAAAGGAAGAAAATTTTAACATCACTTCACGATGTAATTTTTTACCTACAAGCTGAGAATTTAGTAATTTCAATTATTTACATGTTAAACTTGTAAGTTTATCAATAATTTTTCATCATTGGCAAATATCAAAATCACTATTATAGGGAATACCATCAGGACCCAGTATTTCTGAGTAATATTAGCTGTGGTCTCTAATCTACAGAATTAGAATAGTGTTACAATATCATTACTTAACCCTAAAACACAGACTTTTTATTTTAATGTGAAGAGTTAGATTTAATCTTACATTGTTGATAATTCCGCCAGGATTCTCTAAACTTACAACTAAATTTAACATCAGTCTCTCATTTTAATTCTGTATAGAGAATGAGAAGGATACACTGTTGTCAAATTTAAGTTTAGTTTTAGAGATTCATGTCAGAATAGACACCATTATTTTAATATTTATCTTTTTTTTAAAAGTGGCAATAATGAAATTTTATGTTACTTCCTTGAAAGTTAGCAATATTTCAATAAAGATTATCAAATATCCATACGAATAATAGATTTTGTTAATGGAATGTTTCTATTATATTATTTTTACAGAATTGTCATTGTCTCATCGTCCCTGCATGAAAAGGGAGTAATAAACTTTGCAGATTTAAATTCAAAGGAAGAGATTGAGAAAGCAAAACAAGGCAAAGTGAAGAGCCGACATATATCTGCCTATCAGAACTCTAAACTAATGAACTGTTACTTTATGAGAGCTCTGGCGGATCGTCTCAAAGATACAGGTGTTGATGTTAGCGCTTGCTGCCCTGGTTTTTGTTACACAAGTCTATTCAGGTATGTCAATATATATTCTTTACTATATTTATATTATAACAAATTAATTTAATAAATATGCTATATACATGAAAGGCCTTAGAAAAGTCCAGTTAATAAATGAACAAACAAAACTATCTTGAAAATTGCTTCTGTGCTATTTTTATTATAGCTTTATTATTGTATATTCATGTCAAAATTTTTGAGTGTATAAAATATTTGTATAAAGAAGACATCTCCAAATTCTTTTGCACTATGACACAATACTCAGAACCTACATTCCTTAGTGATTTTTAAATTCATCCACATAAGGACTTTGGGAACCTAATAATAGAGAAATTTTTACTTCTAAATGGGGCATTACAGTTAGTAGCAAGCTAAGGTAGGAACCTATAGGAATATATCCTTGCTATTTCTACTTCTAGTAAAATTCTTTAAAAAGACTTAAAAATTCCGTGATAAGACCACCCACTACCACTGCGCAATTCATGTCTGCACAGTACAGATGCCATAATAAGGAATCTTAATGCCAGGCAAGTTCTATTAACAATCAGTTGGTGGGATACAGCTGTAGGGGGTATTTATTTTGCAATAAACATAAAAATTGGTGCTCCAGTCATGGTTGTTTTCATAATTATATATGATATGTAATTCATAGTTTCATTCATGCATTTATATATACATTTAAATGTGAATGAAACTATGGATTTTTATATACACATATATATATGTAAGTACATATATTTAAATATCAGTTTCCATAGTACAACACTGTTCGGTTTGGTACTGAATGACTAAGTTGTACGGAATTATTTTTTTCATTGTTAGAGCGAGACACAAAATACGCTCAGTTGAGTGCTTAGAATAATAATTTTAATTAATTTAAGGTTGAACGGCAACCCGCTTTCATCGCTAATTTGGCTTGACTTTAAAGGTGCGTTCAGACTATGCTGTATGCGCTAAAAAGTATGGCGCGTATAGCAAGTCCATACAATATAGCGGTGTACATATACATAATATTAATATATACATAATATTATGTATTCTAAGTGGTATAAGCCTTGAGGAAACATTGAATATTTTCTCATAGCTTGTGTAATATAGCATCTCGGTTTAGTGTCGACTCAACTTTATGCTTACATTCTATCCATTTACATTCAAAACATACGCAGAATCAAACGTCGAATAACTGAACCCTATAGGCGTGCGTGTTCCCAATATAGATTGTACTTTATGCTTCGCCGTGTTGAATGAAGAAAAACAAATGTGTGTTTACTCATGAACAACATCCTGCTGGTATTATAGGTGAGAACGAAACTATAGATATTCATTTTGTTAAGCAATAACGCACATTATAATAAGGATGCTGTTTAATTTAGTAAGGTTAATACTATAGGTAGTGTGGCGTGCCACCTTTTACACACATAATTCGATAAAAAAATGAGAATTAATTTAAAAATATTTTTTTTTATTAATAAAGAAGACAGCAGAGAAGATCGTAGGACACTTTTAATAGCGAAAAAAATGGAAATGGGGGTGTAACAGATGTTGGTAGAGCCTGGTTGCTGAATATCAGTAAATGTGTTTTAATTACTAGAGCAAAAATATGACAATAATTAAACAAACAACATTAGGAAAAAGTAAAGTAAATAAGATATAAATAAAATATGACATGACAGGGTAAAAAACGAAAAAGTCATTAACAAGTGGATGACTGCTTGAGTAGAATGAGAAAAAGATTTTCTACGCAGGCGAAGTCGCAAGCGCTCACTAGTAAAAATGAATAGGCATAGAAACGATGAATTTATACAATACTGTTGATCATGAAAAGGAAGTTAGTAATGATCAATTTAATTTGTGCGTTTTATATTAGAAGAGTTCTTGCGTGCACTAATAACTATTATTACACCTAATATTACACATGTACTAGGAACTCATAGGTAGGTTAAATAACTCGCCATAACACGGTTAATCTCTACTGCCATAGCATGATCTGATTAACGACGAAATCAGAAAAAAACTTGCATTCTCACTCCATTAGGACTGCTGAGATAAGCATTGGCAAATTTTTCAGGTAAAGTGGGATTATTAAACCCTTTCCATAATTTGTAGGTCACTCTAGGTCTCAAAGCTGACAGTGGAAACGATGTAACAACTTTCAAACCGATTGCAGTCTTAACAAAACTATTCGAGATTGTGTTATGCCGGCAAATCAATAGGCAAACCGTAACTATTATATTATAGTCAACATGATTTAAAAATGGCTCGTTCTACTACTGCTAATCGCGTGACTCACTTGGACTACATTAGTACAGAGTTTTATGTAGGTAGGCAGAAACATGCTCGATAGTTCTTTTAGAGCTCGCGCTGCGTTATGAGGGACACGGAACGGGCGTCCGCTCGGCGTGCAGTTTTTATTTCATATTTTCATAAAACAGCGCGGCGCGGGACACCCGCCTCACGAGTTTTAAAAAAACATGAATCGGTATTCTTGGCTTTGACATATCGAGCGACATCCAATTCCGAGTTTATCTGGAGGGCAAGACCAAATTGGCTAATTTGCCTCCAAGAAGCTTGTTGTGCTTAATATATGGAGGGGGTACTTCACACCAGCCCATCGACTGCAACTTTATAAAGCTCATGTTCGGTCTCACATGTACTGTTATCATCTTTGGGCGGTGGCACCTCAGTGCCAGCTTCCTCCTACCTCTGGATCGCGTCCAGCGCCGAGCGGCTCGAGTTTTCGATGACCAGGACCTTTCCGATAGGCTTGATCCTTTTGCTTTGCGTAGAGATGTAGTTTCGCTCTGCATCTTCAATCACATTTGTCACGGGGAGTGTTGTGAGGAATTTTTCGGATTAATACCAGCTGCTGCTTTTCGCTATCGTACATCGCGACAAAAAATTCATCCCCATCATCTTAATGCGTGGCTATCCACAACCTTGCGATTTTGTCGAGAGTGTTGCAGGTGCATATTAACGACGGTGATCACTTACCATCAGGTGAGTCAGTTCGTATGCCCCCTATAATATAATAATAAAGAAACAAGCCGAGCCCGCTCTTTGCTTCCGCTTAACGCAGCGCACGCTTTAAAAAAGCATTTAGAAGGTCTAGTTAGTTTACTATGACATTTTCTTGAATAAGTTGTCAGTAATGGACTTTACACCAAAATTAGCCGATTTCTTTTCAATTACCACCGTGATTGAAGTCAATAAGGCAGACTTGGTGGATTTAAGTTCAGAGAACATCACCTACCAGTGGGTGCCCGCGGCTAAGTATTCGTAAAAAAATGGTTTCTCATACAAATTTTGACCCCCTTTGCAGCCCCATAAAGGATATTTCTAGGTAAAAAACTATCCATGTCCTTTCCTGAGACCCAAACTATTTCTATTCTAAATTTCATCTTAATCGGTTCACTTGTTTAACCCGTGAAGAGTTAACAGATAGACAGACACACTTTCGTATTTATAATATTAATATGAGATTTGGGGTAAGTCAGGGCAGTATGCTGGGGCCAATGTTTTTTATTTCTTATCTTTATTAATGACCTGCCAAATAGCATTTAAAGTTCCACATGTTTATTGTTCACGAATGACCTCAAATTATGGCATAGATAACTTATCTCACTGTTGTAAGCGTTACCAAGAAACAGCGATGTGGTGATGAATTGGATTTTTTATAATCATTACGTTTGCATGTAAACGCTGTTCAATAAATGTAGATTATAATTTAACTGACCTTAACTTACAAAGGGTAAGCCCAAGTCGTAGTCCTCATAAAGTTATTATAATACTTAGAATAACACCCCGACTCAGGGAACCTCAAAGTTGACAATCGTGACCGTGGGGTCATGGTCTTAAGGAAATGTATAAGCGGCATTTATGTTTTTCAAAGGTAGTAAAGACTTCGCTCTGTAACTGTGACAGGAAGAATGAAACACTGTTATGAAGGTTATTAATAATAATTACGATCAATTGATTTTGAATAAATAATACTCAGCAACCTGGATGGAGTGGACTTATTTGTAGTAAAATTTTCTTTAGATTTAATATATATTTCTTACTTATACCTAAGTAAATTTCACTCAAACATTTGGTGTCAAATGGTCAACTTGTTAACCAATTTTTTCCTCTTTTTAGATATTCTATAAAATGGTATCACTACATTCTAATGGCGCCAGTGTTCCTGTTATTTATGAAAACGGCAAAGCAGGTAAGTTTATTTACACTTGCACTTGTACCTAATACACTTTATTCAACCTACCTTAGTACCTTTTAACTTAACTAAGCTTAGCTAGCTTAGCTTAGTCGTTGTAGGATTGATGACACAATCCGTCCCTAAGCGAAATTATTCGAACGTTTTATCTCTATTATAAGCTGTACTCTTAAATTCATAATAAATGTACTTATCATCATACAGGTACCTATCCTATATTCCACAGCATTAAAATCTGTCAGTTATGGTAGGATAGACGACATTTCGATTATCACAAGTCAACTTTCAGATTATAGGCGCTGGTACAGTTAAGATTCCAAAAGAAAATTTTAGTTTCGTGAAGGCTTATTCTCTCCACCTTAATCTTCTGTAAGGTACAATCCGTTGTGACATATGTCTCTTTGAATACACGAACAGACAGAAAGATCACATTGCCGACTTCCATTAAACTCTTAACATATCCATATCTTAAGAAACGCGATGTAGATACGTGCGTCGTATGACGATGACGCAACGACGTGACGTAAGTTTATTGACGAAAATCATCCTTAAAGACATTCAAAGTGGTAGTCTGTGAGGTCAAAGTCGCGAGCGAACATTTTAAAAATGTTAAAAAAGTAGAGTGCCTTGTATCATTGTTAGCACAAACTTTGTTTTTATGCGTGGCGTGGTGAATTATCCCACACTACCTCATGTTACGTGGAGTCCAGCCGGGAGAACAGCTGATGCGACCTAAACTCAGTCAAAAACCTCTACATGGAGTCCTGGAACCTTACACTACAACTGAAACAACACAACCAAAAGTTTGTGTTATTCACTGTCAGCTAGAAGTTGGAGGTTACTTCCCCTCGCACCCGCTATGGCCTACCTCTGATAAAACTGTATTTCTTAGGCCCATTGACACTTCACAATTTTTTTTTGCTCGCTTTGCTCGCTTGGTTTTAGGTCAAAACACTTACCTAACCTAGTGTGATGAGGCAACTCCCGAGCCCAATACGTACAGTCTGGCCCTACCTCTTCTAAAATTTCTTGATTTTCTTACCAGGGTGCGGAAACAGTGGTCTATTGCGCGAGTGAGTATAGCATCGAAGGTCGTACTGGTGTTTTGTATCGAGACTGCGCTGTCTACGACTCCAAGTACCCGTTTGACAAGGAGGTCGAAAACCGGTTGTGGGATGTGTCTGAGCAGCTGATCAAAGCAAGGAAACCTATCCCCATCGACTAAACACATAGCGTATATATAAACAATATAATTTCATATAAAAACTCCTTTTTAAGTTGTCCGAGTCTCAAGTTGAATCGCCGAGTCTAGTTGTTAGTGTAACTGCATGGAAATCAGGTGTAGGTTAGGTATAAATGAAGTGAAACTTTTTAGATTGTACAGGTCCCAGCACGTAACTCTAGCGCTGAACAAACTCGTGCACGTGCACCCGCGCACCTCGTTTCCCCCCAAGACATCTTAATTTTTACTTCTGCGCAATAACGCTAGACGTCAGCGCTAGAGTTTCGTGCCGCGACTTATAAAGAATATTTATTTATGTTAATAATATTGCCACTTTTCCCGTTCACGCATTGTAATGAAGATATGTTGATTTTACTTAAGGGAGTACCAAAGTACTGTATATATATACTATATATCTAGAATCACGCTTCGTGAATTGGGTACCTACATGAAAAAATGTAGAACATTATAATTATAATTTATTCATAGATCGATAATCTATAATTTGCAGAATGACTCGTTTATTCTCAGTTGGTTAGTCGTACGAGAACTAGATGATCGGCCGATTGAAAATCAAACGTGTGCTAAAGACAAAAACGTCGTAAGGCCTAATTTTTAATTCTAACACAAGGCAACAGGTTGAAGATGAATGAACACTTTACAATCCGTTTTGCCAAGCTGTATCGTTATACCTATACTTATTCGATTTGTCTTATTCTTATCAGACCACATGAAATGGAACAAAAAATGAGATAACAACAGTTCCTCATACAAAGATCAAAGAACATTACATAATCGATCTGCCTTCATTCGTAGATTTAATTTTTACGAAAGTGCTTTGATATAAGAAAGTTTATAGTAGCTACATTATGTATTTATTATGAGTTTTTTTAACAAACCATAAAAATTTCCTGGTAGTGAAGCGTGCGTGGTGAATGCGATGCACGGCATTTTCTTATTCTCTCAATGAATTGCGAAATTTTTGAGTAATAAACTAAAGATTTATTTTGTATGACTATCTTAAAAAGTGCGCGCTTAGGGTTACTATTTAAAAATTTGAAAAGCCGGACATTTTAGTCACAAAATGCAAACATCATCCACTTAGTTACAGTGATATTATACACGTGGTAGCAGGCGCTCGCATCGCGAGGGGGGTGGGGGGGTCTCGTTGATTTTTAAAGATAATTTATATTTTGTTTTAAATTATGAGAACTTAATAAAGAATATTTGACTTATTTGATATTACTTAATACGTAGTTTTACTCGTCTTATCCATCTAATTAAAAAAAGCCGGACAAATTAAACAGCCGGACAAAGGGCAAACAGTCCGGACAAATCCAGACGGATGGTAACCCTATGCGCGCCGCATTACGTCTCATTATAAACAGACCCTTAGCTATGTAGCCATTTTAAATTAGTTTCTTTATTCGCGCAAATTTTAAAGAACCAAATCATATTGGAAATAAGATCTGTAGACCATGTATTTATTTTCATTATCTCACATACATTACCTCGAAAAGTATAAACATGGAGTGCAAAGTCTATATTTCAAGGTTATTTTGATTTGTACTTATATTTTGTTACAATAGTATTTAGTTCTAAGTAGTTCACTGTTAAAGTTGTTTCTTTATAAATAATACATTTATTTAGAATGCTTGTTATTGATAATATATACAATAATAATGATTTCTTTTGCAATATTGAATAAAGTGTATTTACTTTTTTTAATAGGTACACCAAAATAAATGTGCCAAAGGACGTTATGCTAGCACTTCACATGGCTATTTGTGGTTGTCTTTTCGACAGCAGGTTGTCCTTATCAACTGTACTTAAAGGAAATAAAAATGTTGTCAAGTTCACAAACAGCAAATACAAATTGCCGACACTTCACTTGGCTATACGTGTTTGCTATTTGTAAGCTTGACATCAGTCTGTTCTTTTCATTCCATATAAAGCATGTTAAGGATAGACTACTGTCAAGTTTACAAATAGCTAATACGAGGAGTTCGATGACGCAGGTGGTTAGTGCGTTCCGCTGCGATCGTTGAAGTTAAGCAACTTTCGCAGTGGTCGGTCATTGGATCAGCGGCGTAGCGTGGGTGTCGGCCGCCCGGGGCGAAGGACAATTTTGCCGCCCTCTTATTTAGATGGTTGAAATATTTTTCTTATTTATTGTAAAATTTTGCCGCCCCTAAGAAGTGCCGCCCGGGGCGGGCTGCTCCTGCCGCCCGGGGCGGGCTGCTCCTGCCGCCCCCACTACGCTACGCCACTGCATTGGATGTGTGATCAAAAATCTTCTATCTCGAGTTCCTCCGTGCTTCGGAAGGCACGTTAAGGCGTTGGTCCTGGCTACATCTGCAGTCATTAGCACCCGCTAATCCGCACTGGGCCTGCGTGGTGGGTCATGGCCCAATCTCCCTGTTCCACCCATAGGGAAGGCCTGTGTCCCGGCAGTGCGGACATTAAAAGGCTGGTGATGAAATACGAATAGCCAAGTGAGGTCCCGGCATGATATACCTATTTAGTAAATGGCAAATGAAATACCTACCAAAATAGTAGAACGTAAGTATATAAGTTTAACGGTCACCCTGTGGGGTAGCGTGGGTCGTAGTTATATTCTATTAAAAGCAAATATAATTTAAGAGTCGGTCTCGCAATTGACCGATTTTTGTACTGTTTGCAACCTGATTAACTATATCGAATTGAAAGCAATCTTATTAGTACTAGTAGTGCCTTTGTTTTAATGTAAATATATATTATTCCTTTATAGTTGATACATTGGTAATATAATTAGTAAAAAATAGTCCATAGTTTAAGAATGAAATATAAACAAATAAAAACGATAGCCAAATAATGACTGTAATACATAGTTTCATAATGGATTTATAATTTATTAAAAGTTACTGGAGAATATTTCTAGTTTTATTTTACATTAAGAAGCTTGTGTGAATACCTATAACTGCAATAGAATATATAGCAGCCAACAACTTAAGAAGACAGGTAGAAGTTATCATTCACATACTTGTCTGTCACTTAAAAAAATATTTATACTTTAATTGCCATGGGGGGAGCAAAAGATTTAAAAATATGTACATCCTCGTCAGGGGCCTCCACTCCTTTGTTGCCCCAGGGCATACACGCCTCCTTGCACTACGATGTTCATGTTTCTGTGTAAGGGCCGAATGACAGCGTTGAGGCGAGCACTTTGATTTTAAAACAATTTTGAACTTTATCTACATATTTGGTTGGGGAAAAAGTTTCTTTGCATTTTATATGAAAATTCAAATCATTTTTTTATAAAGTTTATTTTAGTAGTAGTTAGTAGTTTATTACATTTAACTAAAATATGTAGGTGTCATTTTGTTCGACAACTTCTTGCCATCTTGTAGGTATACCTGATCTCATTGCTGTAGAAATTTTGGGGCTTCTGATCAAAAAGCCGCGACAAGTAGTATTGGCAGTCCTCTCGTGATGTTAACCTGACACTGCTTAAAGAATTCTGAAGAGACAGAAACAGATGGAAATCTGAGGTGCAGGGTCAGGACTATACGGCGGCTACGTTAACACCTCCCAGTCAATCTCTCTTCATTTTTGCTGAGTGAAGTATGAAGATAGTTTAAAATTATTTCACATTGAATAAGTACTCGCCGCGGTCGCTCCCATTCCAGTGTGAATCGGCCCTAATATAAGCGCTGTCAGTGTAGAATTTTAAAAATGAAACTACATTATTTTGTATAGTGAGATAACTTTTATTTTTTTAATTTGTATAATAATAGGCATTTTAAATACAATATATAATTAATGACCTGTTTTCCTTACTTTACTCCAATCAAAAATACAAAAGTGCAGGCCGCGTCAAATGCCTTAGTGAAATATAATAATAGTAAAAACAAACACTTTGCAATGAAAATTGCGATTACGTAACCATCAGGTTATGTTCTAGTTTTAATGGTTGCACATAATATTAATTAGACGAGTTTTAACAAATAAACTGCTCCTGTATGATATAAAAAAAGACGGTTAACATGACCCTGTTAGTATGACAATACTTAATTTGGATTATTTAAGTAAATTACTTAGCTGCTACAAATGACTTGAAACTCATTACGGTCCACGGATGTAGGTAGTTTAAAATTCTTCTGAAAAAATACTGAAGTTTATTGTTACATTTTCCTAATGGTTGGCGGTAGTAAGTTAAGTTTCAGCTTATTTTATCTTTACAGAAGTAGACCAAAATTTTGTTCTACCGCGGGCAGAATTACCTGGCAGTCACTACAATATCAAATAACCCAATAATGGTTGAATTGACAGTCATTGCTCGAAACTAACATTTTAGGAGCGCCATCTGGGGGAAAACTCAGCACTAAATGAAAGAATGAGTTTGCTACTACAATTTCGGTCTGCGACGATTAATCTACGAGTGTGGTTTTCGGAATTAGATATTGACAGAAAATTTCAATAGATGAAAAAAATGCACAACACGCCAGGCCCCGTAAAAATATTTAATCTAAAGTGCTTCAAGAAACTCAGTGCGTCTCATTATTACCTACATATTATTAGAAAGATGGTTATACTAACGCTAGGCACTTGGTGAATCTTAGATCTTCGAACATTTAAACTTCGATCGATGTGTAGAGTAACAAGTGTTAAAACAGTCTTGAAGTTACAAGTTTATATAAAACGCTCTTCACTATTTACATAATCAGAAATCAGCGGTAGCTACAAGCTACAGCCGCGTTGTTTGATACATTAGTCAATGTCAACTTCAAACACATAGTAAAATGTTCTACACATAGTAATTTTGACACATCATTACTTTTTCTTATTTATTTTAACGATAGTCACATTTAACTATATATCGAACAACGGGCCATTGAATCACTGTTAAAGTATTTAAGTAAGTAGTTCAGTGTAGCATTTTTACTTTCAAATCAAAATATGTAATATTTTTTCAGATTAGGCTGTTACAAGCACTTGTGAGAAGGTCGAGAAGCTACGCCATCGGTTCGCAAATCTACAGCGGGAGACATTTTATAAAATACCTACTATTTAACTTCAAAAATTTTTGCGAACTATCGCCAATTTCAGTGAATAGGTACAATATTAAACTTGGTTTAATTAAAACAGAGACAAAAGACTGCGCGACACTAATATGAAATTGACAATTCTCTAGAATGAGACAAAGCGATTGTGCAGCTAATCTCCCTGCTAACCCTAGCTAATATCCCAACTCCCTGGCTACACGATCGCTTGGTTTCTCT